CGAGGTCGGTGGTCGCCTCGCTCAGGGCCCCCAGCACCTCGTCCTCACTCTGCCCGAAGGCACCTCGCTCAGAGTTCCCGGCGGTTCGTGAGGTGCCCCAAGGATGAGTCAGGACTTGGGGCCGAGGCAGGAGGCGAGGCAGAGTTCGGCACCGGGTGCAAGGCATCACGCTGCCTTGTCGCTGAGGGCTTGCAAAAGCGGCCGCGCATCTTCTCGGGCTCGACCTTGCAGGAGTCTTGCTTGAGCTTATTGTCCCTGGGCTTCTTGTTGCCGAAGCTCTTGCCCTCGAGCTTGCTGGAGTCCTCCAGCTTCTTGTCCGAGAGTTTGTTTTTGAAGTGCGCGTTGTCCTCGAGCCTGCTCTTGTTCTGGAGCTTATTGTCCTCGAACTTGCAGGGGTCCAGCTTGACCTTCTTGTCCTCGAGCTTCTTGTCGTCGAGGTTCTTGTCCTCGGGCTTGCCGGCGTCCTCCTCCAGCGTGGTTGCTTGCGTCCCCTCGTGCTGCTCGACGCCGTCCTCGGTCTTCGCCTCCTCGGAGTTCTCGATCTGCGCGCCGTTTGGCGACTGCTCGTCGCCCTGCGTATGTTCGACGAGGAACATCGGTGAAACGACGCTCTCGCCGTCCGACCGCTCGGCGAAAAGGCAAGGAAAACGCGCGGCGATTGTCGCTGTCCGATTCGGCCCTCCTTGCCTCAGCGGAAAAGGGGGCTTGGAATGCTTGGTCTTCAATGGGCCACGGGAAGCGTCGCGTCCTCAGCGGGCTTGACCCGAACTGCGTCTGCACCGTAGCTTGCGCCACCCCGGCGATCCATCGGCGGGCTTCGGCGATGCATCGGCGATGCGGTGGGCTTGGCCTGTGCCGTTGTGGCAGCTGTTGTTTGTGTTGTTGTTGTTTGTCTCGTTGCTGTTGTGGCCTGCTGTTGCTGTTGTTATGCTGGTTGTTGTTGCTGTTGCGGCTCATGCTATTTTTACTTGTGTTGCCTGTGTGAGTGTGTGAGTGTGTTTGTGAGTGCGCGTGTGTGTGTGTGTTTGTGTTTGAGTCTGTGTGCGTGTGTGTGGTTGTGTGTGCGTGTCGTATGTTTGTGTGTATGTGTGTGTGTGCGTGTGTGCGTGCGTGTGCGTGCGTGCGTCTGTGAGTTTGTGTGTGCGCGTGTGTGTGTGTGTGTGTGTGTGTGTTTCTGTGTTTGTGTGTGCGCGTTTGCGTGCGCGTGCGCGCGTGGCCGCTAGGTGTCGAGGCTCGATCCTCGATCCTCGGATCGAGGGCCCAGGATCCTCGAGCCCAAGTTTGGCGATCATCGAATTTAGGATCCGAGGTCCTCGCAGATGCTCAAGACCAAGATTTCGGATCTTCGATCCGAGGATGGAGAATCGAGCCTGCTCGATGGCTGTCTGGGCCCGAGGACGGCGACGAGGGAGATCGACGATCGCCGAGGCTCGATCCTCGATCCTCGGATCGCGAACCCGAGATTTTCCGGCCCAAGCGTGGCTGCCCTCGGATCTAGGATCCAAGGCGCTCGAATATGCTCGGAGCCAAGATCTCGGATCCGAGGATCGGCGATCGAGGCTCTGTGGTGGCGGTCTGGGTCCGAGGGCGGCGGCGGGGGCGATCGACGATCGCCGAGGCTCGGATCGCGAACCCGGTCTTCGAGTCCAGGCGTGGCGATCATCGGGTCTGGGATCCAATGCATCTGAAGATGCAAGATTTCGGATCTTCGATCCGAGGATGGAGGGGGATCGAGCCTGCTTGCTGGCAGTCTGGCCCCGAGGACGGCGACGAGGGAGGTCGACGATCGCCGAGGCTCGACCCTCGGTCCTCGGATCGCGAAGCAGGGGTCTTCGAGTCCAGGCGTGGCGATCCTCGGGTAGGATCCAAGGCGCTTTGAGCTGCTCGAAACCAAGTTCTCGGATTCTCGATCCGAGGATCGAGGCTCCTTGGTGGCGGCCTGGGTCTGACGACGGCGACGGGGGACATCGACGATCGCCGAGGCTCGATCTTCGATCCTCGGACCGCGATCCCGAGATCTTCGATTCCAAGCTTGGCGATCCTCGGATCTAGGATTGAACTGCTCGAAGATGCTCGGACCCAAGACATCGGATCTTCGACCCGATGATGGAGGATCGAGCTTGCTTGATTGCTTGATGCTTGATCGAGGATCGCTCGGCGAGAGGGGGGGGGAGCACCCCGCAGTCTGGAACGACACTCGCGCGCGCTCGAATGCTCGCTTGGAGCTCGAGAGCAGATGGGGCTCGAGCGCGTGCTTCGAGACGCTCGCGCGGCACCCTCGCAGCAAAGAGCATGGGGGCGCTTGGCTCGGGGCGCTCGTGCGCCAGGCGCTCGCCGCTCGCCGCCGCTTGGCTCTCAGGCGTCCTTCGGCGTCGAAGTGTCGGCCTCTGGGGCCTTCGCGTCGGCCTGGCTCTTCTCGGGCTCCCGCTGGTTGCGCATCTCGTCGTGGTCGGCGTGGATATTGGCGACCGCTTCGAAATCCATCTTGGTGTGCTGGTCGAGAGAGCCATTGTCTCGAAGCGGAGCTGCCTGTCGGCGCTTGCGCAGTCATGCTTGGAGCGCCCGTCCATGTAGTTCTCCGCTGGTTCTCGCAGGCCACGTCGGCAGTGCGCTTGGGGCTCCAGCGCCACTTGACGACCGCTTGCGCGGTGGCTCGCGCGTGGCCAATGCCCTGCGCCGCGCCGTTGCCGCCGCGCCAGTCGACGAATTGCTTGGCCGCGTGGGGGGTCACCTCGAAGAGCTGATCGCGTGGCACGCCGGAGGGGAACTCCTCGGGCATCTTCTCGACGGGCTCGAAGCTCTTGCTGATCGGCAGCACGAGGTCGTGGAAGTTGGGGAGCTCGGAGGGGATATCGGGGAGGGCCTTAACTGCGCGCTTGGCGTAGGAGCCGAAGCTGATGCGCCGGGCGATCTCGGTGCCGAGCTCGATGTCCTTCTTGGCGAGCTCGAGCATCTTCGACTTGGCGCTCAGCATGAGCCAGACGAGGTTATCGGGCGGCTCTCCGCGATTCTCGAAGATGTCGTAGAGACGGGCGTTTTTCTCGCAGTAGGTCTTTTCGAACAACGCCACCGCCAGCTCGACGCGCCTCTTGTCTTTCTCGTTGAGGATGCGCCCGTGCTCGATGCTCTTGCGAGAACCGCCGTTGTAGACCATCTCGAGGACGGCAAGCTGGGCGCTCAACGACAACGAGGCGCTGTCCGCCTTGAAAAAGCAGGCCGTCATTCTTGCTGCGTCAGTGCCTTGCGCGCTCGATTGGTATTGGCGCATCTCGGCAATGGCGATCTTGTCCGCGACGAAAGACAGCTTGTCGAGGATCTTCTCGTTCTGCTTGGCCATGCGCTCAATAATCTCGTTCGAGCTTGGGCTCGCGCTCTGGGTCGCGAGCCCCTGCAGGGCCGCGACCTGCTGGGTCGCCCACCGCCTGGGCGCGTTCGGCGGCTTGGGACGTGGCTGAGGCTCGCGACGCACTGAGGGGCAACGATGTGGGGGGGATAGGCATTGGGGGGGAACGTCGACTTGGAATCGGCGATTCATCGCCGATGCATCGGCGATGGGCGCCCGATCGTGAAGCCGCACGTTCTTGGGAAGGGTCAGGCTATCGAACCACTCTCCGCGATCAGTGGGCGATTGGGGATCGATGCGTCCCTTATGCCTTATCCCCCCTATCGTTGCCCTTGGGGGAGGCGCAGCTCGGTGCCTCGAAAAGGCTCGAAAGCTAGGAGTCCCGGAGACTCGGGGAGGCTCGGGCCTGGGGAGTTGCGGGGGGGGGGAGGAGGAGGAGGAGGAGGAGGAGGAGGAGGAGGAGGAGGAGGAGGAGGAGGAGGAGGAGGAGGAGAGGAGGAGGAGGAGGAGGAGGAGGAGGAGGGAGGAGGAGGAGGAGGAGGAGGGGAGGAAGAGGAGGAGGAGGAGGAGGAGGAGGAGGAGGAGGAGGAGGAGGAGGAGGAGGAAGGGGAGCAGGAGGAGGAGAAGGAGGAGGAGGAGGAGGAGGAGGGGCCACGAACTGCGTGAGGAATGTTCTACAAAAGTAACTCCAATGCTCTGCCTGCTGGAAAACGCACGTAACTTCAAAATCAAATCGGTTTCCATGGCCTTGCGCACGTTCCTGACCCGGGAACGGCTGAGAAAGTGAGAATCCCATGGCCTTGCCGCACGTTGGTGGTTAGGGAAATATGAAATGGTGCGAATCCCATAGCCTTGCCACACGCCCGTGATTGCGGAAGCTGAAATGGTGAGACCACAATTGCCATGTTCAGCGTTTCTGGATGCTGTTGCTAGTCAACATGAGATGATCGCAGCATCGATTTGCAATTCCCCCTGGTGATGATCAAGTTCGGCCTCCGCGCCCTTCTCCACAATTGCATATGATTGAGGCGGGATAAAGAGATACAAACGGGGAAAAGGGGGGGTAAATGACTATCCGGGGCGCTGGGTTACCGGGGTCCGCAACCGGGCGAACATGCCCGCTGTGCAACAATGGCAGCGCTTTAGATCTCCTAGATGAGGCCGGAGTAGATGGGGTCGGAGGGTCGCACCGTATCGCCGATGCGGCTCGATGTGGGGCGCGATTCTCTTCACATGGATGTATCGCCGATGCGTCGCCGAGGTCGCCGATGTATTGCCCATGCAGCGCCGATGCATCGGCGATGTATTGGCGATGCGGCGTGATCCTTCGACCCCATTTATTCGGGCCTCATCTACTGACTCCCCTCTTCAGGGGAGGAGGGAGGAAGAGGGAGAAGGATGTGAACGAGGAGGGGGAGGAGGAGGAGGAGGAGGAGGAGGAGGAGGAGGAGGAGGAGCAGGAGCAGGAGCAGGAGGAGGAGAGGAGAAGGAGGAGGAAAAGGACGTGAACGAGGAGGGGGAGGAGGAGGAGGAGGAGGAGGAGGAGGAGGAGGAGGAGGAGGAGGAGGAGGAGGAGGAGGACGGTTGGAAAAATCACAAGCCCAGGGCCCCCCCCCGCGCAGGCGCCGGGGGGGGCCACGGTCGGATACCGCGCCAGATCTCCGTGGAGCGGTTCGAGGAGAAGGAGAAGGGCGGTTGCGACTCGCCGTCGAGGCGGAGACTTTTGGGGGAGAGCAGGGGAGTCCCAGACGCCCTCGAGTCATGACAAAAATCACGACGGGGACTTTTTGCTATTCTCGGCCTCGGGGGGCCCTGCTTAACTAGCCCTCGGGACCGTCAGAGAACGGCCCAGGGTGAGAAACGTGTCCTGGGGAAGGGGTCGAGACCTCGAGGCGTCGACGTCATGAAGGAATCAGGCCGTCGGGGGTCTGGGGAGTGACGGGGAGAGAGTTCGGCAGCCTCGCGCCGCGCTGACGCTCAGAGGATCTGGGCCTCCCCGATGGGGCCCGAGCCGGTTGGGTCGGAGGGTCGCGCCGCAGCGCCGGTGCATCGGCGATGCGGCTCGGTGTGGTGCCAGCGTGTCTCCACGCCGGTGGCGCCAGAGCAGCACCAACGCTGCCGGTGCATCTCCGGTGCATCGCCGATGCGGCGCGATCCTCCGACCACATCTACTCCGAGCCCATCTAGGAGGCCTCCTGAGTAGGAAATCACCACCCACCAAACCACCCCAACCCAACCCGCAGGCCGCCATTTGACCTCCATTTCCAGTGGTGGGGGGGTCGGGGAACATTGAGAAAACACACATGGAACCCGTACCCCCCCCCCCAACCCGAAATTCGGGTCTTCGGGTTGGGTTGGGGTGGTCTGGCAGGTCGTCAGGAAAATAAGGCGTCGATACTGCTGCTCGTCCTGGAGAGCCCTCGTCGCCACGGCTGGGTTCTCTTCGGCATGCTACGGCCGGGGGTCCAGAAGCCTCCTGCAAGGTTGGGCCAGCGTTTCTTGGCCCGCTCGCCGGAGAGCTGGCCCAGCTCCTCGAGCGCAGTCGCCCCTCCGAGCGTGAACACCAGGAGTTGTCCTGGGCTTGCCTGAAGACACTTCCTGGGAATCTGGCCCAGATCCCCAGACCCCCGACGTCATGATTTTGTCATTGCGTCGACCCCCAGAGTTCTCGACCCATGCCCCAGGGCCTGTTTCTCACCCCGAGCCGTTTTTTCATGGTCCCGAGGCCCGGTAAGGGCCCCCAGAGGCCAGAGGCCGAAAATTAGGAAACACCGACCGTCGTGACTTTTTCATTGCCCGAGGGGGTCTGGGATTTTCTCGACCATATTTTCGGATGTAGTGCGAGCGCACCCCAGGAGAGGTCCACGGGCAGCAGCATATCGGTGCCTCCCCAGGCGCGGTGCACCTGCCTGGGCGCGGGCGTTCCGGGCGGAACGCCGCCGATGTGGCTGGGAGTCGCGCCGATGCCGGGCGATCTGCGCGGTCGGGAAGTTGCGACCGTTCAAGGTTGGACAAACTTCGGAGCCCCGGAATCGTCAGGCGCCTGCCGCCGCAGGCAGAACCAGTGCCCCAAAAGGGGTCCGATGGAAGACGGGGGCGGACCCTGAGATCCTGGCGTCCCAAGTTCTTCGAGCCGGCCGTGCTCGCCCAGATTCGGGCCCTGGGGCCCTCACGGATCGATCTGGCTTGGAAAATGGCTTGGTGGTCCCCAAACGTGGTGGTGAGAACACCCAGTGGTGAGTTTTGGGCGATTTGGGTAATGGTTTTCGAGCGCTGGCTGGCCCAGGAAACGCAAAACCTCGTGGCGGCCGCGTGTCCCCAAACCCGGTGGCGACCCAGAAGTATTTTTTGGGGGAATCGGAGTCGCCACCGGGTCTCTCACCACCTGGTTTGGAGACCACCAAATGGCCCCGAGAGAGGGAGGCCAGGGCTCCCCTCGAGAGTTTGTTGGCAGCGTTTTTTTTGTTTTTGTTTTGTTGTCCAGAGGTCGGATCTCAGGGGAGGGGAGCGACCCAGACGCGCCCACGGCGTGAAGAAGTCGAGGCGGGCGGCGGTTCGCCGTTCTGGCCTCTCCCCCGTCTGTCAAAGGACGACTCGGGACGAAGCCCTGAACGACCACACCGTTCACCACCCACCAAATCACCCCAACCCAACCCGAAGGCCTCAATTTGCCCTCCATTTCCAGTGGGGGGTGGTCCGGGAACATCGGAAAAACACATATGGAGCCCATACCCCCCCAACCCGAAATTCGGGTCTTCGGGTTGGGTTGGGGTGGTCTGGTAGGTTGTCAACCGTTGGACCCTGTCAGGCCGGCCACGAGGGTGAGATGTCCACGCGCCAGCGGGTAACAGCGGTCAGCCCTCGAACTGCTGCTCGCCGCTACAAGGAAGGGCACCCCCCTGCCCGAGAGGGAAGGGGCCTCCTCGGTGCCAGTGGCACCTTCGTCCTCTCTGGGCGGCGAGACCCAAACACACCTGCCGCCCTGGCCAGGCCCGTCCTGGGCTCAGGCTCGGCGTGCAAATTGTTCACTTCTCATTCTTCTGAAGTTCTTTGATCTTTTGGGGGGCCAAGATCCTTTCCATTTCCAATTCTTCCATCCTGGGCCTCTTCCTGGCCACTAGGGGTCCAGGAACGATTAGAATCGAGCAAAATTTGAAACGAGCACGATTAGAAACGAACGACGTGTACATGCCGCCCCTGGGCCCAGGATGGGCCAGGCCCATCCTGGGCCGGGGGGCGGCGGCGGTGGATGTGCACTCGGGGCTCCGGAGATGGGGATCCAGGCAAACGCGGGTCAGCCAGAGCGCCAGGGGTGCATTGACCCGGCCTCGCGCGCAGGAGCTTGCAGGATCCTGCAGGGCTCTGCAGGATCCTGCAGAGCCCGACTGGCCCGGGTCCGGATTGACCCAGGTCAGTAGATCATTGGTGGATAGATTTCGCCGCCCCATCCTCATCCTTTCCTGAGATCCGACGTCTCGAAAAGATTGAAGCATCGCGATAAAATCGCAACTGGAGCCCTAGACCCCATCTCTCTGCGCCATGTTTCGAGCCAGATCGATCTGTGAGGGCCCCAGGGCCCACATCTGGGCGAGAACGCCTGGCTCGAAGCACTTGAGACACCCGGATCTCAGGGTCGGCGCCAGGCGGGTCACCTTCGTGATGCTCACGTCGCCCGCCGTCTCCAGCACGGCCCCCGCGACCGCCACCGGCCACGCCAACGGCCACGCCAACCGCGCGGCGCGCAACGACCAAGGCCGCGACCGCTCGCCGCGACCAGCCTCCGCGCCGCTCCGCCCGAGGGTCACCGGCGGGCCGCCCTTCTTCGGCCTTCGCGGGCGCCGCCGCCGCCGACGCCGCCGCCGCCGCCGACGCCGACGCCGACGCCGACGCCGACGCCGACGACGACGCCGACGACGACGATGACCACGACGACCACGACGACGAAGGCGACGGCGACGGCGACGGCGACGACGACGACGCTGCCGCATGCAGGCGGCTGACCGAGGCCGCTCTCTCTCCTTCTCTCTCTCTCTCTCGTTGTCGCTCGTCGTCGCCGACCTGCTCTGCTCCTCCGGTGCAGCCTTCTGCTTCCCTTGTGTCGGGGGTGGGCAGAAACCCCAACAGTGACACGTCGATTAGTGAATTGTCCTTTTCGCTTCTCGAGAGGGCGCCGTGGCCGCTATGTTCCAGGCCTGCGCCCGCCAGGTTTGGGCCTCAGGTCGTTCTCACGAAGCCACGCTTTACTAAAAAGGGGTGTCTGTCCATCCCCGATTTGGGGGGCGCCGCGGGCGCCCTCCTGAGATCAGGAGGGAAAAACACACAGACACAATTCATCGTCGATTCCCCCGAAAAGATGGGAGAATATGGGAAGTGGGGGGGAAGACAGAAAAACCCAGAACATATGGGAAAATAGGGTGAATCTGTGTATCTGTGCGTATTTGTTTGTGTGTCCTGGGGCCCCCTTCCTGAGAGGCCAGCGGCCAGGCCGGCGGCTCCAGGAGGCTGCTGCTCCCAGAGCCCGGTGGGGCTGCTGCGGGTGGCGCGCCGCCAGACAGACCCCCAGCGGGAAGTCCCAGCTGCCCGCGCACGGCCTCTTCCCGAGCAGCCCAGGGGGCGATCTCGGCGCCCTGGCGCCGCCTCCGGAGCGCTCCTGTGGCGCCTCCTCCTCCTCCTCCTCCTCCTCCTCCTCCTCCTCCTCCTGCTCCTCCTCCTCCTCCTCCTCCTCCTCGTCCTCCCCCTCTTCTTCCAGGGTTGGGGCGCGGAGGCCACCCCGGGCTTTCGGGGGGCCGGTTGAGGCCAGCTGGGACTACCTGGGGGAGGGGGGGGGTTCTGCGCGGCACCCGAAGCTCTTTAGGGCTGCTGCTCCTTCGCCCCATAGGTTTTCCAAAGCTTTTCTGTGGGATTCGGGAGGTTTCCTGCTCCCCCTCCTCGTCCCCCCTGATTGTGGGATGTGTGATCTGGGCGGCTCTGGGGCTTCGTGGGAGTTCCTGCTGTTGCTCCCCTTCCATGGGGGGGAGGTGGAGGAGGAGGAAACGAGGCAGACTGAGGAGGAAAGGGTGGTGTGGGAGGCGATGAAGAGAGGGAGGGATGGAGGAAGTGATGAAGGCCCCCCCCTTCACGATTGAGAGTTGGTTATCTCCGGCCAAGACAGAGTTGGTCGTGGCAGAGGGGCGGCAATGCCGAAATTTCTCATCGCGGGGGGAAAACTACGAATCGAAGCTGTTATCTTCTGATGTCGAGTAGCAACATTATCGAAGTCGTGTGGCATGGCATAGGGGTTCTTACCTTTTCAGCTTTCGCAAGGTACGAGCGTGTGGCAGCGCTTTGGAGGTCTCACCGCTTCAGCTTTCTCAAATTACAAACGTGTTGCAGGGCTATGGGATTCTCACATTCTCAGCCCTTCCCGAGTTAGGAATGTGCGGCAAGATCTCAGAGCAAGAGGAACACATCCTCGTCGTTGTCGTCCCCGTGCCGTGACACATCGTTTTTGTTATCCCCGCTAGACCCCGAATTTTAGTATCCCCCGGGTGTTATTATCAGGGGTAGTTGGTTGGGGAGGAGGAGAAGGAGGACGAGGAGGAGGAGGAGGAGGACGAGTACCAGGTGATGGAGAGGGCAGAGGAAGCGGGAGGAGGAATGGAAGGATATATGAGGGGGAGAGAGGGAGAGGGAGAAGGAGAGCGACCGACTCTGGGGCGTGACTGTCACTGGGCTGCCGCTTGCACAAAGCTTAGGATAATGGGGATCAGCTCGACTGACGAGGGGGTCGCACGCAACGAAAACACGATGCGCATGGAACTGCGCGCTGAGCCCAGACGCTGCGCGCGTCAAAGCTCGGGAAGCCAGGAACGGACCCGGAACCCAGCCCGCGGAGCGGAACGCCAAGGCAACGCACCACGAGAAGCTGGTCAAGATGGAGGTTCAGGCCCAGGAGCTCCGGAAGCCCCCGAACCAGAGGTTTTTTAAATTGGGTCACCGGGTCACCGGGTCAACTGACCCACATCGGGGGCGGAAAAGAGGGGGGTGATGACTAGGGGGGGGTGGATATCATGGCGGGGGGCATGATATTCCCCAGATTTCATGGCGCCCCTTCTTATTTCATTACGTCCCTGGCCCCCCCGCTGGGCCGCGCACATGCCGCTCGTCATGATTTGCACCCCCCCCTCTTGGACACCCCCCTCTTGGCCGCTCCCGACCACACCGCCGGGTCACCGGGGCACCGGTCACCGGGTCCCCAACCATTTCACCTAGATCTGCCTCACCGCCGAGATTCTCGTCGAGGCGCGGCGAGGCGCGAGAGCGAGGCCTGAGGTGGTGGGGCCACGGGGGTCCCCGAGGATCTCCGAAGCCCTTGACGAGAGAAGGCTAAGGACGGGCGGGCGGACAGACGGGTGGACGCCGACGACGACGACGACGCCGACGCCGACGCCGACGCCGACGCCGCCGCCGACGACGACGCCGCCGACGCCGACGCCGACGCTGACGCGGACGCCACCGCAGCCGCCGCCGCCGACGACGACGACGCCGACGACGCCGACGCCGACGCCGACGCGGACGCCACCGCCGCCGCCGCCGACTACGACGACGACGACGACTACGACATAGACGCCGACGCCGACGCCGCCGCCGCCGACGCCGACGCCGACGCCGAAACCGACGCCTCCGACGACGTTGACGCCGCCAACGACGACGACGACGACGACGACGCACACCTCCGGCGTCGTCCTCCGCCGTCCGCTGCTCCAGGCTTGCGGAGGTCTCCTCAGCCGGAAGCGTCTGGAGGCGCTTTTTGCTGGGACCCAGAGAAGTGTAGAGGACACGAGCGAGAGCTCGAGTCCTTCCGTCTTCGATGGTCGAAGAAGGAAAAACGAAACAAACACAAACGTTTGGCGTTCCGAGCGGAGTTCTTGGATCCGCGCCGGGCACCCCCTGGCGGCGCCTCTGGCGCCGCCCTCGTCGCCCTCCGCACGCCAGCAAGGGGGTTTCAGCGCAGGTCCAAGAACTCCGCGCGGAGCGGCAAAAGTTTGTGTTTATGCCGTTTTTCCTTTCTCGGATCTTCGAGCGTCGACCCTCCACCTCCGAGCTTCGATCGCCACACTGGGTGCTTTCGCCGGGCTGCGGGCCCCGGGGCCATCACAGATATCCATCTGGCGCGGCGAGATGCTACAGCAAGACGGGGTCGCATTGTTTCGCAACGTCGGCCCGCAGGGAGTGTCGAGGATGGCGGCGATTTGGAGTCGGCTCGGGGGTCTGAACTGGCTGGGACGCCAGATACTCGGTCAGGAGGCGGGAAGAGGCCAGGACCCCTCCTGAGGTCCAGCTGGTGCATATTTTTTTCCATCCGGAACCGTTGCTGACGTTCCCTTGGCCCGAAAAAGTCTTCAGGATACCGAAATAGAAGAAGAAACAACGCCATACACATCAAGTTTTGGCGCTCCGCGCGGATTTCTTGTCTCTGCGCTGGACCCCCCTCCCCGGCGCGCGGAGCGCGCCAGGGGCGGCGCCGGAGGCGCCGCCAGGGGGCCCCAGCGCGGATCCAAGAGATCCGCGCGGAACGCCGAAAGTTTACGTTCATGCCGTTTTTTTTTTTTTTTTTTTTGTTTCTTTCTTTTTTTCTCTTCTTTGTTCGGCGAGAACAAAAGCAGAGGCTGCTCCCCCCTCCTGCTGGCAAGACCCAGTGCTGGGCCACCCCGGGCCCCCCGCCAGCGCCAGGCGGCGGCGAGGGGGGCGGCGGCGGCGGCGGCGGCGCGAGCCAGAGCCGCGGCAGCAGGCACGCCGGGGCCCCACGAGGAGAGCATCCCGCGCGTGGCCGCCACCGTGAGGGAGCACTGGCGGAGCCGCGCTGCCGCCTGTCTATGAGCCGTCTCGGCCGCGCTCGGGTATGGGAGGTACCAGGTCTGTCTGGCTCCTCCTCTTATTGTAATTACTACCATTACTACTGCTACTACCACTGGACTGCTACTACTACTACTACTACTGCTACTACAACAACTACTACTGCTACTACTACTACAACAACTACTACTACTACTACTGCTACTGCTACTACTACTACTACTACTACTACGACTACTACTACTATTACTACTACTACTACCACTACTACTACTACTAATAATAATAATAATAGTATTAATAATAATAGCAATCATTACTACTACCACTATTATTACTACTACTACTACTACTACGACGGCTACGACTACTACTACTACTACTACTACTACTACTGCTACTACTACTACTACTATTTCTATTACTACTACTACTACTACTACTACTACTACTACTACTATTACTACTACTACTACTACTGCTGCTGCTGCTGCTACTACTACTACTACTATTACTTCTACTACGAGGGTCAAACTTCACCTTCGTGTCTACGAAGAATGAATGGGTAAGGGTTCGGGTTCGGGTTCGGGTTAGGGTTCGGGTTCGGGTTCTACATTCATATAAACCAAATGGAATAACAGAGAATAGTCGGATTTCAATCGTACACGAAGCAGCAGTTCGGAAACCCACAATTTCACCACTTGCTGATAGGAAAACAATACAGGGGCCATACACCTATTAGTACACGAAAATAAGTTCGGAAGCCCACTGATTCTAATAGTACACGAAGAAGGGGTTCGGAAACCCACGATTTCGCCGTTCGCTCATCATAAAATTAGCTTGGCGAAGGACCCAACCATATGCAGTTGTGAATGCCGCAATTGTGCTGGGTGTTGGCGGACGCATGCGGGCGGTGCCACTGGGACCTTCGGTGGAGCTCCCTATGGGGCCACGAAACGCTGCACTGGGTGGGTGAGACGCGGTCAGCAAGGGCTGTGCTGCGTGGTGGCGGACGCATGCGAGCGGTGCCACTGGGACCGTCGGTGGAGCTCCCTATGGGGCCACGACACGCTGTACTGGGTGGGTGAAACGCAGGCAGGGAGCAAGGGCTGTGCAGGGTGGTGGCGGACGCATGCGGGCGGTGCCGCTGGGACCTTTGGTGGAGCTCCCTATAGGGGTACGAAGCGTTGTTCCGGGTGGGCGAAGCGCAGGGAACAAGGGCTGTACTGGGTGGTGGCGGACGCGAGCGGGCAGTGCCACTGGGACCTTTGGTGGAGCCCCCTATGGAGCCACGAAACGTGTGAGGGGTGTGCCAGAATGGGGTGTGGAACCGCATGCCGGCGCAGCCACTGGGGCCTTCGGTGGAGCTCCCTATGGAGCCACGAAACGTGTGAGGGGTGTGCCAGAATGGGGTGTGGAACCGCATGCCGGCGCAGCCACTGGGGCCTTCGGTGGAGCTCCCTATGGGAGCCACGAAACGTGTGAGGGGTGTGCCAGAATGGGGGGTGGAACCGCATGCGGGCGCAGCCACTGGGGCCTTCGGTGGAGCTCCCTATGGGGCCACGAACGTGTGAGGGGTGTGCCAGAATGGGGGTGGAACCGCATGCGGGCGCAGCCGCCTTCGGTGGAGCTCCCTATGGGGCCACGAACGTGTGAGGGTGTGCCGAAATGGGGGGGGAACCACATGCGGCGCAGCCACTGGGGCCTTCGGTGGAGCTCCCTATGGGCCACCCACGAAGCGTGTGAGGGGTGTGCCAAAATGGGGGGTGGAACCGCATGCGGGCGCAGCCACTGGGGCCTTCGGTGGAGCTCCCTATGGGGCCACGAAACGTGTGAGGGGTGTGCCAGAATGGGGGGTGGAACCGCATGCGGCGCAGCCACTGGGGCCTTCGGTGGAGCTCCCTATGGGGCCACGAAGCGTGTGAGGGGTGTGCCAGAATGGGGGTGGAACCGCATGCGGGCGCAGCCACTGGGGCCTTCGGTGGAGCTCCCTATGGGGCCACGAACGTGTGAGGGGTGTGCCAGAAGGGGTGTGCGCAGACCATGGGGCGGTGGGCTCCTATGGGGCCACCGTGTGACATGCCGGCGCAGCCACTGGGGCCTTCGGTGGAGCTCCCTATGGGCCACGAAAAACGTGTGAGGGTGTGCCAGAATGGGGGGTGAACCGCATGCGGGCGCAGCCATTGGGGCCTTCGGTGGAGCTCCTATGGGGCCACGAAACGTGTGAGGGGTGTGCCAGAATGGGGGGTGGAACCGCATGCGGGCGCAGCCACTGGGGCCTTCGGTGGAGCTCCCTATGGGGCCACGAAACGTGTGAGGGGTGTGCCAGAATGGGGGGTGGAACCGCATGCGGGCGCAGCCACTGGGGCCTTCGGTGGAGCTCCCTATGGGGCCACGAAACGTGTGAGGGGTGTGCCAGATGGGGGGTGGAACCGCATGCGGGCGCAGCCACTGGGGCCTTCGGTGGAGCTCCCTATGGGGCCACGAAACGTGTGAGGGGTGTGCCAGAATGGGGGGTGGAACCGCATGCGGGCGCAGCCACTGGGGCCTTCGGTGGAGCTCCCTATGGGGCCACGAAGCGTGTGAGGGGTGTGCCAGAATGGGGTGTGGAACCGCATGCGGGCGCAGCCACTGGGGCCTTCGGTGGAGCTCCCTATGGGGCCACGAAACGTGTGAGGGGTGTGCCAGAATGGGGGGTGGAACCGCATGCGGGCGCAGCCACTGGGGCCTTCGGTGGAGCTCCCTATGGGGCCACGAAACGTGTGAGGGGTGTGCCAGAATGGGGGGTGGAACCGCATGCGGGCGCAGCCACTGGGGCCTTCGGTGGAGCTCCCTATGGGGCCACGAAACGTGTGAGGGGTGTGCCAGAATGGGGGGTGGAACCGCATGCGGGCGCAGCCACTGGGGCCTTCGGTGGAGCTCCCTATGGGGCCACGAAACGTGTGAGGGGTGTGCCAGAATGGGGGTGGAACCGCATGCGGGCGCAGCCACTGGGGCCTTCGGTGGAGCTCCCTATGGGGCCACGAAACGTGTGAGGGGTATGCCAGAATGCCAGAATGGGGGGTGGAACCGCATGCGGGCGCAGCCACTGGGGCC